ACTGAGCTGGCAAAGCGCATATCCCAGAATTTGCTAGATATGCAACAGTAGATTTCACCTTCTGGGAAGAGAAAAAAAAAACCCACCGCTTTCTACAAGCAACTAAAAAATGTCATGAATGAATAAACCATGTTTAACTTTAGAGATGAACTAATGTCATCAGTAAAGAGCCTGCAACTTCATCACACCACTCATCACCTCTGCAAATGCCTCCATTCTCTGGTCCTCCAGAACTACTCTCTACTTAATAGCTAACTGGATTTGAAAGGCAAGAAGATTAGGAATGATGTATAATATTTACCGAATGGCATCTCTACATCTTTAGCAAACTTCTGACATTACTTTTTCCAAATGATAATTTATGAGAAACTCTTTTTTAGTGCACTTAAATTTAGCGTACCTAAATTCTTCTTAGTATTTTATGTTATGTCACCTTTTAATATAAAGAACACAATAACATTGAAGGAAGCAGGGTTTTTTTTTTTTGACAGAAGTATTACACACTCAGTAGGTATTTCTATGTAAGATAAGCATGATCATTTTTTTTCTGTATTCCTGATGAAAGAGTGGGATTAGTGAAAAAGGGACAACTAGCTAAGTAACTGCATCAAATATTTGAATCTTTGTATATTGTCCATGTATTCTTACAACACCACATATCCAAATTTTGCTTTGCACATTGTATGACTAGGTTCTGCTGTTTTCAAGGCTAGTGTTTAGGGACATACATGCTTGGAGTTGCTTTTCAAAAATTGCAATGAATAATCCCAATTTAATTATTCTTGTGGAATTATTCCTGGCTTAGGTAAAACCGTATCCCAAATGAAACCACAGCCTGAGCTGCAACCAGAATGCAGGCATGCTCTGAGTAGATCTCACGGTTAAAAATTTAAATTGCACTTGTTTATTTGTTTATGTATGTATGAGCACCCGTGCTACAGTGCATGGGTGGAGATCAGTGGACAATTTTCATGAGTCAATGCTCTCTTTCTACCTTTAGTTCTTAGGGAATGAACTCAGAGCACTGAGCTTAGTGGAAATGCCTTTACCCACTGAGCCATCATCTCTTGTGTGTGTGTGTGATGCATGGATGTGAGTTTGTGGGTTCCTGCATCTGTGCACTTATATGTAGAGGCCAGAGAAAGCTATCAGGTGTCCTCCTTAATTGTTCTCCGTCTTATTCTCTTGACATAAGGTCTCTCACTGAACCGGAAGGTGTCCGTTTCATCTAGGATTGTTGGACAGCAAGGTCCAGTGATCTACTCATTCATCTGCTCATAAACCCTGCCATGCTGGGTTTACAGACACATGTGGCCAGGCCAGGCTTGTAGATTCTATCTTGCGTACTCACGCTTGCAGATGAAACATTCTTACCCACAAAGCCACCTACCTAGGCTGCAAAATTGAACTTCTACCCCACAGCCCTACTCACAGGGGTATGAAAACTTTGTTCAGGCTAAATTAACCAAAAGCTTTGAAACACAATTCACTCTGTTAGATAATGGAATGTGAACCATGTAAGGGTTTGTACAGTGATCACATGGGCAAAGCAGGTCATTTTAATTAATTAATAATGCAGAACCATAGCCAAAAATGGAGATAACCTTCAGAATGAACTAATCAACTGCTTGGATTACATACCTGTAGTCTTTACCTGGATGACCAGTCTTTGCACAGTTTCATAAGCATTAGTAAGTCATCATTTTTGGTCCTAGAATTTTTTATAATGATCAAAAACTTTCTTCTGTGAAATTTTAGTCTTAAGGAAAAAAATTTTTAAATTTATGCTATTTTTACTTACGTGTATGTCTCTCTGTCTGTCAGTCAGGCTGTCTATCTCTCTGTCTCTGTCTCTGTCTCTGTCTCTCTCTCTCTCTCTGGGTGTGTGTGTATGGGTGTTTGTGTGTGTGTGTGTGTGTGAGTGCACGCACATGTGAGCGTGGGTGCCTGTGGGGTCAGAAGATGATGCTGGGTTTCATGAGGATTCTGGGAACTAAGTGCCATGTTTTTCAAGAGCAGGAAGCTTTCTTCACCACTGAACCATTTATCCAACCCAAAATTCTTTAAACAAAGATCTAATCATCCAATCAAAAAAATGAGGTTCTTGGTGTATTCCTGTTTAACGGGTACTATTTTTGCATAACTACATGTGGCCTTTTCCCCCTATATTCCTTGGCTTTCCTTCCCATGAATGAAATAGGGTGGGAGTAGGGTGAATGTGATTAGAACCAAATTCTGTTCTTCTTCAGTGAAGATACAGACTCAACAGTAAGCAAGGAGGCCACAGCCTGATCTGAAAAGCAGAACACAGATCTAAAGAGAGCGGATGGTACATGGCAATCTGGGAAGGTCAGAAACAGCAAAGGCGTTGACATTCAGGGTATCTTAGTATCTAAACATGCATATATCCGTGCCAGTGTCACACACTTACTGTACAGATATTTATGATGGAACTGACAAATGTATGTGTTGATCTTGAAAAGCTGCACTATCTTTACAAGTTCATATTCTGTGGTGACTCTCCCTTGAGAAGTCAGTCCCATACTTGGGTATTTTCTGAGCATCTCTCTTTGTATGAAACTCTGTGCCTAAAATCTATGGCAAAACTGTCTCCTCTAAACTTAAACTCGCTCTAAAAATAGAGAATTTTCAAGGAACATGATATACGTTTAAATGACAAGATATTCCCACCAGCAAGCTTGCCTCTACCCATTAGTTATTCATGATTTCATTTCATCCTGGACATAAGACAGGTTGACATTCTATTAACATGGGGCCAGTTACATTCATTAGTAAGAGAAGTTTTGTGAGGATCTTACTAATTGCTGTCCCCTGACAAAGATGTGGGCACCTGAAAATTGATTTCTACTTCTTAAGAAAATTTATTAAGAAGAAGTCTACTGCTGACATTGTTTACGATATTATACTATACTTGCAGACAGGAGCCTAGAATAACCCTACTCAGAGAGGCTTCACCCAGCATCTGAGTGAAACAGATGCAGAGGTCCACAGCCAAATATTAGGTGGAGCTTGGGGAATCCTGCTGATGAAGAAAAGAAAGGATTGTAGGAGGCAGAAGGGTAAAGAACACCACAAGAAAACTCACAGAATCAACCAGCCTGTGCCCATAGGGCTTACAGAGACTGAACCACCAACCAGAGAGCATGCCTGGGACTGATCCATGCCCTCTGCAAGTATGTAGTAGTTGCGTAGCCTGGTCTTCATGTGATACTCCTAACAGGGGAAGTAGGGGCTGTCTCTGACTCTGTTGCCTGCCTTTGGGACCCTTTTCCCTAACTGGGCTGCCTTATCTACTCTCAGTAGGAGAAGAGGTGCCTAGATGTTCTGCAACTTGATATACCAAGGTTGGTTGATATCTATGGGAGACCTCCTCTTTTCTGAAGAGAAAGGGAGGGGGAATGGATTCTGAAGCAGGTATGGGGGAAAGACTGGGAGGAGAGGAGAGAGGGGAAACTGTGGTCAGGGTATAAAGTAAAAAGTTAATTAAAAAAAGAAGATTAATATGTTGTGAGGAAAGGTCAGGATGATGGCACCAGAAAGGACAGGCCTGAAACCTGAGTTCTATCTAGACTCCGTGTGCCACCTTGATTACATGGAACTTTTAAGTCTGCAAAAGGAAGAGAAGGAACTTAGCAGGGTATCTTGAGCAATACCTTGGCTAATTAACTTTCTTCCTCTGTGCATTTTCTTTCAAGAAGAAGCCAGTACCTATAGCACCACTTCCAGAGAACATTAAAAGCAGGTACATACAACCTTCTCTCAAGGGCAAGAACAAGAGTGATCGCAGACCCAAAAGACCAGGCATGCCCTTGAATTTTAGGTGTGTGTGTGTGTGTGTGTGTGTGTGTGTGTGTGTATGCCTGTACATGTTTGTATACATTTGTATGTTATATACTTAAACATGATTTTTTATTCATTATTGGTTTCAAGAGGCAGAACAAGGAAAATACAAACACATTTTTAAAAGGGAAGACGAAAGACTAATTCCCTTGTCCAAATGTACTAGATGGATGTTAAATAGGTAGGAGAAGTGACAAGGAATTGAATAACTATTCACTTTCAAGGTGAATATTTTTCTATTGACTATACTAGTTTTTTGGGAAAACATTACCTGCGAGCCGCCCCCACCCCTTCCATGCACACAGTGGGAAGAAGAGTATTAGAAATACTGCATCTTTATGTTGGCAACTCTCAACTGCCTATAGGGGTAACATATATGGCTGTTGAAATGGTGAAACGTGGACACAGGTGTATATATATGTGAAATCAACATAACCCATAATTGCTGGCAGTTCTGGACCTCATGGGCTCCAATGTCTTAACATGAGTGCTTTTTCAGTGAATGAAATTTATGTTCCTTATGATTTTAAATCAAAAGACAAGTAGAGAAAATATGGAAACACTAGAGCTTATTTTGTATTAGTTAGTCAATATCAACTCCATAATGTATGAAATTGTATTGACCTAAGCAACAGCCACCTCTAGAAACATAAAGAGTTTATATTTTGTAATCATTGAAAACACATTGACAATCTCTCCCCCAGATACTGAAAGTCTTAATACAGAGTTTTAATACAATCTTGAGAAACATTACTTATAAAAATGGGTCTTAAGAAAGACAATTGAAATTCATAGATATTTGGGAAAATAAACTGGTTGACAATTATGAAAATATCCTTATTTTTAAGTTGCTGATTGTAAGACTTGCTTTTTGATAGGTAATTATGAAAAATTAAACATTCCATGTAATTTTCATTTGAATGGAAAGATATAATGTCAGGAATATAATTGATTGATGGAAAAGCTAAAATAAAATCTAAGTGTATTAACTTATTTTAAATTAATTTAATATTGATCAAGTCAAGGATCATAAATGTTAAAATTTTATGAGAAAATTTGAATGCTAAGTTATAGCCACATTTTTAAAGTTGGAAATGAAAACAGAAAATATATCTGGAGCTAATTAAATGAACTCTTACCTGATACTTCTTTTTGTTCTCTTTTTCTCTCTATTCTCCCTACAATGAGAAAAGAAGTTAGAGTGTAGGGTCATGAGAATATAATAATATAACTAAGATGAAATGGAGTGTATGGTAATGTCAGAGCAGAACCACTATTTCTCAGCCATGCCCTGCATGATTTAGTAACGACTGCTGATAGTTGACAGAGAGAAAAGTGCTTTCAAATCACCTTATTAAAAAAAAGAAAACTATATGCATATAAGAACTACTCTGTTGGGTTTTAAAAATTCTCTTAGCAAGAAGGCAGTTTTTGATAACATGACCATTCAGCAACACCAATAGTAGGTTCCATCTAGGGCCTATGACATCTTAACCATGGGATTTTGAGTAGTACGTTTAGAGGGCCAAACATGGATTCCCTCCTGTCCACCAGGCCTGAAATCTAATCAGAATATGGTCAGCTACCCTATAGAAGTACTTCCACCATTGCAGCAGTGGTTAAATCATGCCTGCTTAGGTAGATATTGAAGCACACAGGGTCTAGCACTGAGCAAGAATATTGACAAAATATTTCTTTTCAAACAATAAGCTTAAAAGGTAATAATTTCTATATAGAGCACTCTCGGGTGTGAGGAAGCTGATGAAAGGAAGAACAACCATAAACTCTAACAAAATACTTGAAAGAGAGAAAGGACAAGCTATTTAACATGAGGTGAAGCATACACCGAGAGGTGCAGGATGTTGAACATACAAGAGACTCAAACAATCGTACCAAGAAAGGAGAGAGTGCCTGTGAAGGTATGGGGACAGCGGTGCTTGAACCTGGATGCACCCAGGATTTAGGACTGCTGATACAAGGATAGACCAAACGGAAACAGAATGGGATAAGTGTGCACATACACTTCATCCAGGGGAAATGTTTAGAGCTTGCTTTAGGGACATAATCTCCAATGCTAGTATACAGGAAGAAGAGTACCTTAAGATGTATGTGGTTGGTAGTGAGAGAGTAAACTAGGTTATGGTTAGGAAGAACAGAAAGTACTGGTTGCCCGAGAGTGATAGGGCATCAAAACAGAGCCCAAGGATTTACAAAAGTTAAGTTGCAAGGCAGGTGGCAAGGTAAAGATTTCTCAGATGACTTGGGGCAAGTGGTGATGAATGTGTAGGGGAGTGATAGGGTACAGAAATGACGGGTTTTGTGTGGATTTATTGAGTTTAAAGTTTCACAGGCATAGGAGAAATTGCAGAGATCAAATTGAGATTACGGATGCAGGATATGCCTATGTGGAAGTGAAGGGTTGAATACAATGTAAAGGCAGATGATACAGAGAAATAGGCTGAAGTCAATAACTGAGAATTCATAACACTATATATCTGGTGTGCATGGGACCACGAGAAAGCAGAAGAGGCAGAGATCCTTGGGATATGAAGGACAAACTGAGTTGGGAACAAACAATAAAGTTCTGGGAAATTTGGGATAGGTTCCAACAGCATCCAAAGCTGTCAAGTTCACTCAAAGTCACACAGTACCATCTCTGTGGGAGGCAATATTTTCAATAGAGAGGGACCAGAAGAGTAAGGGAGCAACTAGGAAGATGAGGCTGAGGATGCCATTTGTCACTCGAGAAACCCTGCAGCGTATAAATGGGTTTGAGGGGGCAAAGGCTCTAGCTGACACAAGCCAAGGCTAATGCTAATCTATGGGATGCTTGTCCAAGCTTCAAGACTCAGGCAAGGAGCTCTGCCCCAGGATAATGATGTGAAAGGCCACCAAAGTGGAGGTGAAAGCACTGTCTCAGCATGGGTAAATGAGAGTCATCCCTCCTACTGTCACCTTCTTGTTACCTAGCAACATTTCGTGGCTGGAACATTATAAGGAAGTTATAGAACACATCAAAGCTATGTGTAAACTTTATGCAAGTAAGTCTTCAAGGCCTTACTGTCTTTAAAAAAATGCTAAAATGCAAGCCTTCCCACCTATAGCTGCCTGATTTGGAGAATTCCTTTAATTGGCACCTTGATTAATCATTTTCATTTGGGCAATTTCCAGAAGACTAGCTGGTTGCAATTTATTTCAATGATTCAAACTGATAAATAGGATGAACAGTCCATTCAAGGGCCTCATTTGTTACCGAGTGAGGCGCATGCTTCCTCTTGCAAGTTTGCTGAAGGACGAGCCGCCCCTTGCCATTTGGTTTTACCCTCAGGGTTGTTAGGTGTCTCAAATGTTTTTGTTAACTTAAAAAATTGTGTGTAAAGCTTGGCTTAGCAGAGTGTTCATAGATTAGCAATGTTTTGGAGAGCCTTTAACTTCTACTAAAATAAATTTTAGCAAATCCCAAGATGAAAGTGGATGTGTTTAAGGCAATCATAGTATTCTCAGTGGCCCATATCTCCCATCCTCTCAACACTCATGTTCTTTTTTAAGTCTCTCTCACCATTGAATTAAACAGGATTGTGTAAACAAGATTTTGCAGAAATGGTGGAGTGTGACTTCCACGGTTGGGTATAAAACACGGAGTTCTCATCTTTCTGTCTCTTGAAACTCCTTATCTGGGGGAAGGCAGATAATAAGAGTGAGGGCAATGACACTGGCCGTGGAAAGAGCCATGTGGCATCGAGCTGAGGCCTCCTGTCACTATCCAGTGAGTGTCAAAAGCGCCAACGGCGACCAGAGACACAAACAGCTTAGTCAGTAGCCCTAGTCAGGAACTTAGATGTCTTTGGATCTGGCTGGTATCTTAGATACAAGTCCATGCACGTCCTGGGCACATGGAGTTAGACTTTGAATGAGGAATGCCCTCTATGAGTTTCTGTATTTCAACACGTCTGCAGCAGATGGTGCTGTCTGGGAAGGTTATTGAAGCTTTGTGTGTGTGTGTGTGTGTGTGTGTGTGTGTGTGTGTGTGTGTGTGTG